AGATCATAGCACACTGTAGTCTTAAACTCCTGGGCTCAAGTGATCTTCCCACCTAGGCCTCCCAAAGTGCTGAGATTACAGGGTGAGCCACCATGCCTGGCCTGATTGGTTTTTAAAAAACTTTTTAATTATGAAGAAAATTTAAACATACAAAAAAGTTGAAAGACTAGTAATTGAACATGTATACAACCATAACCTAGATTCAGCAGATGTTGCCATAATTGCATTGTCTAACTTTATATTTCCTGCTGAACCATTTCAAAGTAATTGACAGATGTCATGGCACTATCCTAATACTTCAGCCTTCCTTCCTCAGAATTCCATTTTGACACCTAAAAAAATAAGCAGTATTTCTCTAATAGTGTCTAATACTAGTTCCTATGCAGGTTTCCCCCCATCCCCAACATACCCCTTCAGCATTTTATAATTATGTTTCCTTGATCATTTTATTCAGAAGTAGCCTCCCGCTTCCTTTTTCTTTCGCAATGACATTGACTTTTTTTAGATATGAAGCCAGTTGTCCACAGTCTCAATCTGTCACATTATTCCCTTGCGGCATCCTCTAATTTGTTTCTCCCAGAGTCTGGCCCTTGTACCCTCTGAAAACTGGAAGCCAGGTCCTGACACTGTATTGGGTTCAGGGTAAGCTTTTTGGCAAGGCTGCCTCAGAGGTCTGGTGCACTGTGGGTGGCTTCACATCAGGAGGTGTACGCTGGGATGGCAGGTTGGTGTCCCACCGTTGAATAAGCTGAGTGTAACCTCTGATTAAGATGGTGACAGACAGCTGTCTCCTTGGCAGAGTATGTTTTTTTCCTTTTTCAGTCTGCAAGTAATCTGTGGGTGACCCTTTGGCATCAGCTTTCTACCTAATGATTTTTTGCATCTATCCTTGCCTGAGTCAGTGATTTCATTGGGGATGGCAAAATGGTAATTTTCTAATTGCGTTTGCTTTTCTTTTCCATTTATTAGCTGTCATTCTCTTCTAAAGAAGAGCTTTTCCTCATCAAGTGGGGATGATTATAGTTCTTCCTAAAAAGGTAGGATAAATGCTCAGTTCTTTTTTGTTTAATTACCAATTCACCAATTTTCAAAGTAAGGAATCGGGGTAATAGTCACACACAGTTGTGGCAAATTATCATTTTCATAGATTTTTACATATTCAGTGTGTTGAAATGAATTACAGTCATTAGTCCTTAATGTTTAAATTATACCAAATTTGACCAGTGGGAGTCTCTTCATGCTGCCAAACTGTAAATGTAAACAAACAAAATTGTAATACTATCAGCGAAATCTGAAAACTAGGTATTTGATGATATAAAGGAATCATTATTAATTGGGATAATGTTGTGATTATTAAAAAGATAAAAGAGTGCCTCTTAGAGATACATGCTGAAGTATTTACTGATAGAATAGGATTGATTTTGAAATAGTTCCTGGATGGTTGGGGGGAGATGTTGAGGGGGTAGAGATGAAACAGGTTTGGCGTGTGCTATTTATTATGCTGTTCTTCCTGGACCAGTTTGAAAAATTTCCTAATAAAAGGTTTTAAAATTACGAATTTATGTTGACATTTGCAATTCAAATTTAATATTACAGTTTTTTTAATCTGTAAGGGCCTATTTTGAAGAAACATGTATATTTTCAACTTTGCTGATCTAAAGGCAAAATTTAGCTAATATTGAAGCTTAAGTGCTTTGAACTACTTTGCCTACTGTGTAAATCAAGAAAATTTGCAGCTTTTTAAAATTTACAATTAAATTTGAATAATGGTGAAG